TCGTACTCGTCCACAGAACGAGTACCCTGTTTGAGCGACAGGAACTGCCGCTCCATCTCTGCTCTGTAGTAGGTGGGGTAGTACTTCTCGCGGATCAGCTCCTTGAGTCTATCCCATGTACATCCCTCCTTCTCGCTGGGACGCATGCTCCAGTAGGCATTCCACCAGAGCCGGGCGTCGCCGGTTAACTGAAGCTGAGCGCAGATTACACGATATCTGTCTGGACAATCCATGACCTCGAAGATCAACTCAAGGCCCTGAATCCACTCGTCCACGATACAGGGATCTCCCTGCCCGGAGAATTTCTCAGCATGATAGTCGCGAAACTGTGTGACTATAGTGGCCTGGGGAAGAACCGGGTAATCGGGTTCCCTACGGGGCGGTATCTGATCATTGGAAAAATTTAAATTATTGAACACATGAAAATATATTCTGACTGATTTCTGAAGTACACAGATCTTTTGACGAGTTGCCAAAAATGGCCGGAAAATACTGATATAAATCCTGAGGACGTCTAGAGTTATATCTGAGTACACTGAGTTCTAAAGTCTGATCCTGATTCGAGCATCTTAGCGAAGTCATGATTAATAATTTCTGAGCATAGACAAAGTAATATGTTTATAACTGAAAACATAAATCAGCACTTACCTGTAGTCGGCGAGGAGTGAGTGTGACGGTTCAGGTTTTTTTGAAAATTTCTGACTTATAAACTTTTCGGAGACGCAGAAATGTGCTCTGATACCAATTGTAACACCCCGCTATTTACTGAAATCAGAGTACGCTTTTTCGCAAATTTTTCTGAATATATTAATAAAATATTTATTTTGCGAAAAACTGATTCGGAGTGCTACCATGAAAATCTGACTTTTATCTGAAAACCGTTAATTTTAAACTTATAATAAAAACGGTTATATAATGTATTAACCGACTAGTGTCGGATCAAAAGCTGAGTTCAAGTACTGAAAACGATAGCGGAAATGTAGCGTGGCCAAAACATAACATATACATATATATATATAT